TATATATATACACACACACACACACACACACACACATATATCAACTACGCTCACTGTGGGGGTGCAGACTCCGGAGGGGCTCCTTCAGCCCAAGCGCTGTAATAGCCAGATCCAAGCATAAATAAATAAACATAACTATCACTCAGAATCTCCAGTCTCTCGGGCTCTCAAAAACATGAAAAATCAACCCGACATGATGATATTAAGTATCAATGAATGACAACAGAGATTGAGATATGATATGCAAGTGATAGATGTGACTCAGTACAAAATTATAAATTTTAAAAAATAGTTCAACAACAATACGACCCATGTGGGTCCCAAAATATATCGGCGCATCACCAAATCATGATCTTTAACATGAGTCTCAGCTCAATTTCTCTAACACGTGGAGGATGTGCGGATAATGATATTTATTTAATTATGCAACTCCACGAAATAAATTAAGTCACAATTACTATGATGCACGCTCACACGCCCGTCACCTAGCGTGTGCGTCATCTCCAAACAATTCATACAACATGTAATTCAGAGATTCATACCCTCAGAACCAAGTTTAGAAATATTACTTACCTCAAACCGTGTAATTCTTTATTCCACTATACCCTTGCCATGAGAATTGGTCTCCGAACAATTAATTCGATTCTGTCAATACCAATTATTGTAATTAATTCCATAAGAAAATACTAATTTCCAATAAAAATCCAAAATTACTCAAAAATTGCCCCTGGGGCCCATATCTCGGAACCCGACAAAAGTTACAAAATATGAACGCCCATCCAACCATGAGTCCAACCATACAAATTTACTAAATTCCGACATCAACTCGACCCTCAAATCTTCAATTAAAGTCTTTGAAGATTTCTACCATTTTCAACCCAATCTTTACCCATTTGAACTCAAAAATTTTTCCACAAACCTTATTGGTATAAGCATGTATAAATAATACTCTTACACCCAAGAATCATACTCCTAATTAACCATCTTCTATCCAAATCCGAAATTGAAAAACTAGGGTATGAAACCTTACCTCTTAGATGAAGAACTTGAGAGATTTCTTGTTGGATTTCAAGGTTTGAGCAAGATTTGATGAACAAGACACTTGAGCTTCTTCCTCTCTCTAGAACACTCTCACTTCTCTCTAAAAATATCAAGTTTTAGCTCAAAAATGAGTTAACCCCTCTCCCTACCCGGCCTTGGGTGTATTAAATGGGCTTTTACGTGCGCGGCCGCACACCTGGGCTAGTGGCCGCGCATCCGGCCACGCACCTGAGGCAGAAAGTCTCAAATATGTGCGGCCGCGCATATGACACAGGTCCAGTAAAATTGCCATAACTTTCTGTATACATATCCAATGTCACACCCCAAACCTGGGGGC